AATAATAGTGGTGTTAACTGGGCTTCCCTGTAGGCACATGGATATTATCCTATCACTTACACCATTGTACCTCATGACTGATCTGGATATGTTCTTTTTGATGATGAACGCCACATCATTCCTTTTCAATTTGTCATTCCCTGCATAGTAAACCATGTGGTTGTTAGATTCAAAATGGCCAATACCAGTTCATTTCAGCTCACTAATGCCAGAGGTTTGAGACCACCTCAGAGGTTTGAGACCACCAGTTATTCTGAGAGAAAGATGAGGCTTTCTGCTCCCACAAAGATTTACAACCTTGGAAACCCCATGCAGGGTTGCTTTGAGTCAGAACCGACTCAACAGCGCTTAACACCAATGACAACAACTGTGAGTCCAGCACCTGTTGTTGTTGTTGTTATGTGCTGTGGAGTTGGTTCCGACTCATAGTGACCCTATACAGGATTTCCAAGGCTGTAAATCTTTATAGGAGCAGAAAGCCTCATCTTTCTCCCGTGCAACAGCTGGTAGTTTCGAACTGCTGTCCCTGAGGTTTGCAGCCCGATTCATAACCACTACACTACCAGAGTTCCTTGCACCTAGTGGGGAAAAAAATTTTTTTGCTGTTGAGCCGATTCCAACTCATAGCAACTCCATGTGTGCACAGTAGAACTTTCTTCCACAGGATCCTCAAGGTTGTGACCTTTCAGAAGCAGATCCCCTGACCTACCAACAGAGACATCTCTGGGTAGGTTTATACCTCCAACTTTTCTGTTAGTAGCCTAGCCTTTAGTCAATGATGTCACCCAAGGACTCCTCAACACCTAACACAGGGCCTAACACATTCATTTAGTTATTATTTGAATACTCAACCAGCCACTAACTACTAGTTGGGCAATATGTCTTTAACTTCCTTGTTGAAATACAGAGATAATACAGTGTCTACATTGAAGGGTTGTGAGAACTGAAAAAAGACCAACATCCTATCTAACACTTTTGTGTTGTTGTTGTTAATTGCCATCAAGTTGGTTCTGGCTCATAGTGACTCATGCTTGGAATCAACTGTTCAGTGCACCAGTGGAACATGTGAGCATTAGTCTCCATGACTCTGAGATCAGAAGAACTAGATGGTACCTATCTCCTACCACCAACTGCTCTGAAAGGGATCCCATTAAGGTTTCCAAGCAGTGACTGGTGGGTTTGAACCACTAACCTGTGGTTAGCAGTCCAGTGCTTACGTTACAGCACCATATATGTACCTATTATTTAAATGATCATAAAACTTTGGGGAGATTAAATATATGTCTTCATCAGGAAACATTTTAAAAACATGCTTTTTACCAGTCTATTGCTTTTCCTCCCATCTCTAGTAATCATTAAAGAATATTTCTTTCAGGCACATCTCTTTATTTCATTGCTCAAACTCAATAAATTCTTCCCTGGATATTCTACTAACCCATGCACACTCACTGCCTTAGGGACTTAGGGAATCAAGGAGTCTTGAAATCATAAATAAGTGTAATCACTTACAAGATCAATATTGTTGTTAAGTCGAGTTGATTCCAACTATAGCAACCTGTATAGAGTTTCCAAGGAGCAGCTGGTGGGTTTGAACCACCAACCTGTGATTAGCAGTCCAGTGCCACCCTAGGACTCCATCAGATGCAATCTAGATGACCATGTGCTGCAATAATGCCCTGTAGAAACACTCCTGCTAAGTACGTGCACATCTAAATTGATCTAAATGCCCCTGATAACAAAAAACTCACTATCATACAAGGCAGTTGAACCAACCCTTTGTCTGCTCAACTAAAAATTTGCCATTAAGTCAATTCCAGTTCATAGTCACCCCATATGCGTCACAGTAGACCTGTGTTCCACAGTAGAACTCATTTTCCAGAAGTAGACCAGGAGACTGGAGATAGATGATTGATAGATAGATAGATAGATAGATAGATAGATAGATAGATAGATAGACATACAGACAGATAGATGGGGTCCTGGTATAGAGCTATAGGATGAGCACTGGATTGCTAACCTCAAGGTTGGCAGCTCAAACCCACCAGCCACTTCTTGGAAACACTATACAGTATCACTATGAGTTTAAATCAACTCAATACATAAAAATATTGGTGTAATACTATAGGATAAGCACTGGACTACAAGGCTAGCTTGAACCACAAGATTGGTGGTTCAAACTCACCAGCTGCTCCTTGGAAACCCTATAAAGGGTTGCTATGAGTTGGAATTGACCCAATGGCACTTAGCACCAAAACCAAAAATCCTATATGGAGTCCTGGTGTGGCACTGTAGGATAAGCACTGGACTGCAAGGTTGGTTTGAATAGCAAGGTCAGCAGTTCAACCTCACCAGCTGCTCCTCCAAAACCCTATACAGGGTAACTATAAGTCAGAACCAACTAAATATCACTTAATAACTACAACAAGGAACAACAAGGTTATATATAGGTCAAGTGTACCCAGAGGTACCTTGACCTTGCTTGCAAGACATCTCTAGATGAACTTGAACCTGTAACCTTTTGGTTAGTAGCCAAGAGTATTAACCATTTGTACCACTCAGGGACTCCTGGTCAGCTCTGCTAGAAACATCCATTTAGCCCAGACATACCTGTCTGTAACTTGAACTACTTCCTTGGATGTAGCGTTGCCATTTGCAGGCTTGCAGTATGGGCTGGTTCTTCCTTCAACTTCACAATCCCTGAATAGAACTGATTGTGCATGTATACCCTAGCCCCCAACCAGATTAAAAACTTCTAGCGGACATTCACCATGTCTTATGTCCTTTGTGCCCAATAGGTGTTTAATAAATACATACAAAATAAATGCCTACTTTCTCTTAGTCCAACTCTTTCCACCATAAAGGCCACAGTAAACAATTCGTTCTTCTCTTCAGGTGCTTAACAGCAGTGTCACGTAATGCTGAGTAAATGGAAAGATAAAAGGAAAGAGGAAGAAACATTTTTTAAAATTCCATCTTCGAGTGTACTGGGAGGCAATTTTCTTTTGCAGGCACACTATTTACAAGCCTGACAGTCACATATCAAAATAAGGAGCAATCTCCATGTCATCCATTTCCCTCCCAATATTCATGGGGGCTCACGGTATGTCCTGGTGAGCTATGAATAAATGAAAAGAACTAGAATATATCCTTAATTGTTGTTTGCCTGGATTATTTCGAGAGTGGTCAGAGGGTTTTCCACTTTGCTGAGTGTTTTGTACAATACATCCAAATTTCCCCTGAATGTTTAAATGTGGGGTCTACATTCAAGCTTTTGACAGCTGGTGGAGATGTTATTGCTCTTGTTTTTTAAAACCAAAAGAAGATAAAAGGTCTCAGACTTCTTGTAATTTTGGAGAATGTTGAGGAATGAATTGTTGAACTAATACTGTTTGGGCATAGGAACTCAAGACCTCATGAGATTTATGAAATACTCTGATTTTTAATTCAGGAGCGATCGACATTTTGTTTGTTTTGTATGAAGGCTGCAACATAATCTTACTAGAGACTGTATTCATTAAAATTATGCAAATTATGAACACCTGATCATATCACTTTTCAAGGAAATATTAAAATGGCACTTTATATTGTCTCAATTTTGACTGAGGTCCCAGGGTTAAGAAAAATATATGTCAATTACACTGCACTCTAAAGCAAGGTGTTGGGTTTGTAAAAAGTATAGTCCAAGACAAGTGTTGTGAAGCTCAGCCCAGATGGATGAATCAGCCATTGGAGGATTGATTATGTAACTATTAGTGGCTATTCCAAATGCTGGGGAGCTGTGGGAGAACCAATGGGAGAGCTAGGCTGCTGGCCCCTGGAATGTAGGAGAGCACAGTGACTGTTAGCTGAAGTGTGCCTGAAAAAAATCTAAAGTCAAGAGTCTGGCCAGCTTAATGGCAGAGGAAAGAGTTGAGGCTCTTTGGGGGAAAGTTGCACTGTTGGAGTTAGGTGAGACCAGGAACTTGCCTCCTTATGCAGGCTGTAGGCTGCTGGCTACCTCTCCTCCTCTAGCCCGTAGTCTCCTTGGAAAGGTTTTCATCCAAAATGACCACTAGAGATAGAAGGGGAACCCAGCCGAACAAAACTAAACATGAACTGGCAAAAGTTTGGGGGTTTCACTTCTTGCTGGGATGAAAGGTCAGAGGAAGTACCCTTTCTTCTTTTCTGCTGTCGGCCTGGGTTGTTACAGTCAAAATGGACAAGTTCATGAAAGCCGGGAAGGTGGTGCTGGTCCTGGCTGGATGCTACTCTAAACACAAAGCCGTCATTGTCAAGAACATTGATCAGGGCACCTCTGATAGCCCCTACAGCCATGCTCTGATGGCTGGAATAGGTCACTATTCCCGCACAATGGCAGGTGCCACGGGCAAGAAGAAAATTGCCAAGAGGTCAAAGATCAAGTCTTTTGTGAATGTTTATAACTATAATCACCTCATGCCCAACAGGTACTCTGCAGATATCCTTTTAGACAAAACTGTTGTCAACAAGGATGTCTTCAGAGACCCTGCTCTTAAACTCAAGGCCAAGGTCAAATTTGAGGAGTGGCACTGTGGGTTAATGCTCCAGACTGCAAAGCCCTTTGAACAGCAAGGTCAGCGGTTCAAGCTCAACAACTGCTCCTTGGAAACCCTATACATGGTTGCTATGGGTCGGAACCGACTCAACGGCATGTCACAACAACAACAACAACAAAAGATGGGCAAAAACAAGTGGTTCTTCCAGAAGCTGCAGTTTTAGATCTTTTTATTCTTTCAATCATTAAAAATGAACAAAAAACCGGGTTTGTGATGGATAGTGATTGATCATAAATGCCCAGCCAGAGAAGCACTGTTGGCAATAAAAAGTCTAAAGGCGCATCAAAGAAATCCCCAGTCCTTTATAGTCTTGTCCCTTCTTTATCCCCAAACCTGGAGGAGCTACAGGTAGCATGTGCAATGGGGGATCAGTGAGAGACAAGCAAGGTGATGTATAGGTGGCTGAGCCCCTGCCCCAAAGCAGACGCAAAGTCAACTTCAAGTCTGGGTTAAGGAAAAGAGTGAATTATGGATGAAATGTGCACTTTTGGTATTAAACTGAATTAGCATATTTGGGGGGTGGATTCAGGAGGGAACAGTCCCTGGAGAAGGACATCATGTTTGATAGAGTAAAGGAACAACGAAGCTGAATTTACAAGGTAGCAGCAACAATGGGCTCAAACCTAACACCAATGGCACAAGACCAGATAGTGTTTTGTTCTGTTCTGCACAAGGTTATCATGAGTCAGAACCAACTCGACAGCACCTAACAGCAAAAACAAAAGACATTTGTTATCCTAAAATACAGAGACAATTGATTTATAACTAAGAATGACAGAAAACACAGATATCACCTGGTCAAGATCTCATCCAGAATCTGGGGGGATATGATTTAATGAAGCAAATTTAACTGAAAATGATGAGAAAGAACAAAGTTGTTTTCTGCTTGTACCCCACTATCTAGCTGGCAAAATAAGTCCCAAGTGTCCTATTTGGAAAACAAAACAACAACAAGGAAAATACCCTCTCTGTGTCTCAGTTTTTTCTTCTAGAGCTAGTCAATGTATCTGCCTCACATGTGTGCGGATTACCTTAATGAACACATGTACTGCACCCAGCACAATGCCTAACCATAGTTAAGTGTTACCTAATAGAATTTTAAGAACTTTTTTCACAACCTCATAAGACACTGCAGAAAACTTGCATCCCATCTGTACTTTTCCTTTAAGCATTTATCACAATTGAACTTGCAAAGCGTTTGTATAATTTTAATTTAAATGTATGTACCACCAACCTCTCCTCAGGAGCTCTGGTAGCGTAATGGTTATGAATCAGGCTGCTAACCTGAAGGTCGGCAGTTCGAAACTACCAGCAGTTCTGTGGGAGAAAGATGAGGCAGTCTGCTCCCATAAAGATTTACAGCCTAGAACCGACTCCATGGTACTTAACAACAACAACAACAACAACCTCCACAAATGCAAAGGAAATGTTTATCTTTTCCACCTTGAATTCCCAAGGCATAACACATAGCATACTGTGATAGACTAAATAGTGGCCCCAGAGACATCAATTGTTAATCCCTGGAACCTATGAATATTACTTTATATATCCAAAGAGACTTTAAAGGATATGATTAAGAATTTTAAAATGAGATTGTCCTTCTGGTCCCTAAATGTCATCACAAGTGTCCATTGAAGAGAAAGGTACAGAGAGACTCACGAACTGAGTAGGAAAAGGCAATGTGATGGTAGAAACCAAGAAATGCAGGCAGCTTCCAAACTCAAAAAACAGCAAGGAAATAAATTCTTCCCAAGAACTGCCAGAGTAACCTGTGTCTGATTCTGAACATCTGGCTCCAGAACTGTAAGACTGCAAATTTATGTTGTCTTAGTCATCAAATTTGTGGTAATTTGTTACAGCAAATGTAAGCAACTAATACACCTGTGTTCTATTTGTTGAATGAAGAAATGAGACTTACAAAGATTACAAAACAAATAGAAGTCACAGCCAGTATAGAAATGGAAACACAGGACTAATCTTTGTGACATGGATATTGCTAGCAACTAACTTTTGTGAAGAAATCCTGTTGTGGCACTGTGGGACAAAGCACTGGACTGCAAGGTCAGTTTGAACCAAAAGGTCATTGGTTCAAACTCACCAGCCACTCCTTGAAGACCCTACATAGAGTCACTATGAGTTGGCACCAACTCAACAACAACTTTGGTACACATGTCTAAAATTGATTATATATGGATCAGTTAAACAGTGTACATCACAGTATTTGTCAAGTTTCCTTAGTTGCTAGCTGAAGTTACCACTGGTTGATTTATGCAGGAAAGTGAATTTACTTAAAAGATAGTGGCTATTGGAGACTCACCAGGATGACAGAAGAACAAGGTCAGGGTCAACATGGTGGTCCTGCTGAAACTATGCAGCCTGGTGCAACATGCTAAGTTGTACTGCACAACTAGTCTGAAGAAGATACCATCAGCACTGACAACAAACATACTGCACTACAACTATATAGCATATGCCAAACACTGCAGCCTCAGATATTCCTCTAAAACTGTGCCCAGAGTGTTCCTCAAGAATCCTAAATTGAGAGGTAGGCTGGGAATGTGGAGATCAGTGTTTGCAACTTCTATAGTAGAAGGCAGATCAGGCTCCTAACAAGACTCAAAAATGGGAAAGAGAGAAGAGTCCCCAGACATAGGAAGATAAGACTCAGTTGACGGGAAACCATATTGAAAGCTTACAGTGAACTTAATTTCAAGCATCAGGCATTGACACGAATTCACAATGTCAGAGTAGGTAGCCATGCATCTAATGACCTCCTGTGTTCAATTACTTCAAAATTCAAATTAAAGCAGATAACAGAATGTGGAAGCTATTGAGCTTAAATATGTCTTTTTTAATCTCTAATTTGATTCCTAAACTAAATGAAAACACCTTAAGGAATTTTAAAAAACAGAATTCCTTGATCAGAATTCCAAATCCATGATCAAACAAGAAATGCCTGGTTATATTTCTCTATCACATTGTCCCATTGGATTAAAACAAAGACATAATAACTCCCTGTCAAAATAATGAAAGGTAATTTTATTTGAGGGCAATGAGATAACTAGAATCTGGGGGCCATGATGGAGTCCTGGTGTGGCACTATAGGATAAGCACTGGACCACAAGGCCAATTTATACTGCAAGGTTCATGGTTCAAACTCAATAAATGCTCCTTGGAAACTCTATACAGGGTCACTCTGAATTGGACTGACTTGACAGCACTTAACAACAACATCATAGTAAAGGAAGAATGGAAATCCCAAACCTTGGACAAGTCAAGTCTACCACTTAGAATAACCATTCAACTAACATTTTTGCTTTTCCTATATCAGATAATGTGCTAAGCACTGGGATATTTTTTTAAGTGATTACAAAAGAATCACTGTAAGAATTTATATTCTACAGAGGGGATCAGGGATACTGTTGTTGTTGTCGGGTGTCATCGAGTCAGAACCGACTCATAACGACCCCATGCACAGCAGAACGAAACAATGTCCGATCCTGGGCCAACCTCACTACCGCTGCCACACTTGAGGCCATCAATGATGCCACCTGGCTGATCCATCTCGTTGGGGGTCTTCCTCTTTTTCTCTGACCCTCCTACTTACCAAACATGATATCCTTCTCCAGTGATTGCTTCCTCTGGACAATATGTCCAAAGTATGAGAGACAAAACTTAGCCATGCTGGCCTCCAAGGAGCACTTTGGCTGCACTTCTTCCAAAATAGATCTATTGGTTCTTTTGGTAGTCCATGGCACTTTTAGTATTCTCCTCCAACACCACAACTCAAAAGCATCAATTCTCCTACGGTCTTCCTTATTCACTGTCCAGCTTTCACATCCATATAAGGACACTGAAAATCCATGTCTAGGAAGAAAGAGTGACAAACTACTTCTGAATCGCTAGTCACTCTATGAATAGCAGAGAAACATTGTTAGATACAGGACCGGAAGGAAGGAAGGCACTCAGAATGCTTCCTCAAAGTAGAGTTGACCACGATGACATGAATAAAGTTAAGCTTGGGGGAGAAAAGTGCACAGAACCTTCATTTGCTGATGGGCCACAACTCAAGATGAAGAGAAACAGCTGTAAAAATCCATTGAAAATCGGAACGTGGAATGTAAGAAGTATGAATCTGGGAAAATTGGAAGTTGTCAAAAATGAAATGGAACGCATCAACATCGATATCTTAGGCATTAGTGAGCTGAAATGGACTGGTATTGGCCATTTTGAATCTGACAACCACATGGTTTACTATGCAGGGAATGACAAATTGAAAAGGAATGGTGTGGCATTCATCGTCAAAAAGAACATATCCAGATCAGTCATGAGGTACAATGTTGTAAGTGATAGGATAATATCCATGCGCCTACAGGGAAGCCCAGTTAATACCACTATTATTCAAATGTATGCACCAACCACTAAAGCCAGTGAAGATGAAATAGAAGAATTCTACCAACTTCTTCAATTTGAAATCGATCAAACATGCAATCAAGATGTATTGCTCATTACTGGTGATTGGAATGCAAAGGTTGGGAGCAAAGAAGAAGGACCAGTAGTTGAAAATTTGGACTTGGTGATAGAAATGATGCTGGAGATTGAATGATAGATTTCTGCAAGACAAATGATTTGTTTATTTCAAATACCTTCTTTAGACAGCATAAGAAATGACTACAGACGATGGACCTTACCAGATGGAACACATAGAAATCAAATTGACTACATCTGTGGAAAGAGAAGATGGAAAAGCTCCATATCATCAGTGAAGACAAGGCCAGGGGCAGACTGTGGAACAGACCATCCATTACTGATATGCAAATTCAAACTGAAGCTGAAGAAAATGAAAACAAGACCTCGAGAGCGAAAATATGACCTTGAATTTATCCCACCTGAATTTAGAGACCATCTGAAAAACAGATTTGATGCATTAAACACTAAAGACCGAAGACCAGAAGAGTTGTGGGATGACATCAAGAATATCATACATGAAGAACTTGTTGCTATTAGGTTCTGTCAAATCAGTTCCTGCACCATTCTTACAATAGTAGGCATGTTTGAGCCCATTGTTGCAGCCACTGTGTCAATTCATCTCATTGAGGGTCTTCCTCTTTTTTTGTTGACCCTCTACTTTATCAAACATGATGTCCTTCTCCAGTGATTGCT